GAGTGGAAGTGGTCCGAGATTTCACATCCATCTGCTGGAGAARGGTTTTCATCTGTCTCGGCTTTCCAGCTGCTGATTTTTCAATTTGGTTGTCCCGAACTGAGAACTGGCTGCGCAGAGGCAGGTTGGGCTGCTGCCCGCCCAGCGCGGTCCGGGAGGATTTCTAAAGGATAATGGGGCAATGCAAACCGGCAAGGAGCAGCTAATGGGATATTTGAGGGAAGCAACCAGGGTAAAGGCAGAGGTCCTGACTCTCACGGGGAAGAACTGGTGAAAAGTGATGGGTTAGGGTGGAGAAAACATTTGGAGAATTCATCCAAGGACCGGGACTCGAGATTAAGGATCACTTGCTCATGGAGATTGAAGAGGCTAAGGATCAGCGGCTGGAAAAGGGCTCAGCCCCTCTCCAGAACGGGTGCTGAGGGAATGCTGCTTCATCCCAGTGTGAGGATCCTCACAAGAGGCAGCAGAGTCTGAGAAGTGAGATCAGCTGCCATTGCTGCAGGTGCTTGCTGCCGGGGAGGGACTGTCTCCAGAGGCAAGTCCCTGAAAGGGAAAGTGATTTGTAACTGTTAAAAATGCTGTCTTCTGGCATTTTCTGGTTCTCCTTTCACCCTGGCACTTGACCTTTTGTGCGCAGAAACACAGGAGGTGGAGGAAAGCTATGTGTTAGCAGGTTACCGAGGTTTCACTGGTTTCAGTGTCCATTTCTCTGACTCCATTTCTCTGACTTCTTCATCATCTTTGTTGCTTCTTGTTTTTTTAAAAGAGTTTTACTCCCCTCAGGACAATCTTCACATCCTATCAACTGGAGGAGCTGGAAAAGGCCTTCAATGAGGCTCACTATCCTGACGTCTATGCTAGAGAGATGTTGGCCATGAAAACAGAGTTGCCAGAAGACAGGATACAGGTAAACACATCTCTTGGACCCCTTTATTGTGCTCCTCTCAGACATGTTCATCCCTCCGTGAAGAAAAGGTTGCGGCATGGGAAGTATGACATTTTTCTGAATAAACTTCCCCAGGCTGCCCACTCTCCTGCTTTTGATGGGTAGGCAGACAGATCAGCTGTTCTTGGCAGATTTGTGTTTGGTGTTTGAATGTCGACATGTGGTGTGTTGTACGAGTGATTTGGGGTGTGTGTAACAGAGGAAATCCTAAATCAGAGAAGGACAACAGGCAAAAWAMGATGACAGTGTTTCAAGGTCTTGGTGAAGGCAAGAAGAGAGCCTCCCAGAGACCATGTTTGGGGGTTATTGTTGAAGGGAAAGAGCACATCTCTGCTCTTTTGGACACAGAAGGATGCACAGGGGCAGCATAGACAGCTAGGACAGCTGCGGGTAGGATGCAGTGTGGGAATGATGAGTGGGTCCCAGTGAGTGTTTGCACTGTGTCTGCACTTTGGCTGAATTTGCCTTCTCCAGTCAAGTTTCTCTGAAAGTTTCTGGGGATATATATATATATATATAATATGTTAAATTTTGTTAACAGCTTTTAACATTAAGGTTTTAACTGCATGTCAGTCCTGTCCTGCCACCGTGAGGAGGTAGAACAAGGTGGTGTGGACTATCACTGCTGGGTGGTGAATCCTCCAGCAGGAAGGGGCAGCCTGAGCTGCAGGGCTGTGCCAGGACCAGCCTTTGGCATGCATTACAGCCAGAAAGCTGGAGAGAACAAACAGCTGCTGTTTACAGTGTGGGAGGCACATTGGACAGGATAAACATGATGTTCACAGGGGTGGGCTCCAGCAGCTTCCATAGCCTCACTTTACCCCATGGCTTGCTCCCATCAGGTTTCTACACAAGGCACAGGATTGTAGTGGCCAAGCCTGGAGCAGGGGGTACAAGTGATAGTTCTGGTCTGGCTGGAAGTTAAACTGGCCTGGTCCTCCTCCCAGTGGCAGGGGCTGGCTCTGTGACTGGTGCATAGTAGTTTCTAGAAGAGACATTGTCCCAAGTGCTATGCGGTGTTGGACGGGTCCTGATTTCCCTGTTTCCTCCTGTTCACCCTTCGTGCATGCCCAGCGCCCCCTGAGCCTGTGCTCTTTCTTTGCTGAAGAGACAGCCCAGGAGGCTGCTCCCTTGKGGGTTTGGAATGTAGCTCAGAGGGGGCTTAGCAGGATCACACTGATGCTGGAGGCTGCTGAGGTGTGACACCACRCAGGGACAGGAAGATCCTTCAAAACAAAAGTGTAGCCTTTCTTCCCTCTGTCCTGAACCCCTCTCACCACCTTTATCCTTGTGYCCAATCGAAAATGACATTTTTATAAAAGCAATTTGTGCTTCTTATCCCATTGAGCTGGCAAGATTCCTGCTGATCCAGCAGCTTGTAGATAACCTGTGTGCTAACAGGATTTCCACTGGTCTTCAGAAATAATGGTCCATCATCTGAAATCCTACCTGATGCATTAGGATTTTGCTCTGACAAACAAGCCCTGATGGTTTGCCTCTAGAAAGAGTGAGATGGATGGAGGGTCACTTCTCCACTTGTGACCCTTAGGATATCAAGTCAAGAGAGGAGAGACCTATTGGGASTTTATTGTTGCCTACACCCCCCATTTGGTGCTAAGCTGGAAAGAATATCCTTTGATTTCCCATAAAAGGCCTTTTCAAGGAAGAGGTTCATGTAGTGGCACAGTGTATGTTGAACTCCAGAGGCCTCATTTCTCTGGCCAGARCTGAGTGCCTTCACTGTGTGTGAGGTTGATGAGATGTTATGGCAGTGTAGAGTTGGACACTGCACACACTGCTTCAGCACCTGAAGTGCCTTTCTTGTGCTGAGTGTTTTAACTGATTCAGAAATGAAAAAGTMTGTTAAGAATCTTAGCTGTCACTGGCTTGTCTGCCCTGTCATTCTGCAGCAGGCTAATGGACAACTACCTACTCTTTCTGTTTTGTGGAGTTTTTAAACCTAGGAGGGCTCTTTACTGGGGCCCCTCTGCTCATGAAATCAGGTTAGACTTGGACAGCAGAAGCAGCCAACGTGGCTGTTCTGAGCATCAGGTGTAACCAATGGCACGTGTATTCCAGAAGAAAGTGCTTGTGAATAACATTTTTGCTGAACATGAAAGGGGAAATAMTGACAAACAGCAGAATTTCTGTGGCGTCTGTTGAGCATCCTGCCAGGGTGAGCATCAGGGTGACACAGGAATCCTGAGCATCACTGATCTTTCCATAGGCCAGCAATTGATTGTCCTTTACCACACATTCTATGAAATTTCCTTGTCCGTACTTTCTTCGTGTGTGACAAGCCATGGCAAGGTCATTCCCAACTTAGATTATACTTCTTGATATTTTAGCTCATATACCTTTTTAACTTCAGACCTTTTTGTTGCAAGCCTAATTCTTTCCCCCTTGCTATAAAGTTCACACTTCTAAAATTAATCTAAGGTATTTCTTCTCCCAGCTGTCACTTTTGGTTTTCATCATTGCTTAAGCAAATTGCAAAGATCTTTCCTTAAATCATCCTTCATAATCACATGCTCATCTCTTAATCATGTGGTTGTTCTTACATGAAGCCCATCCTGCCTGGTAGCCTTCCTGGAGATATGGGATCACCTGCCTACAGCTGCACACGGGGTGTGTTCACGCCAGCTCAGCTGCACTTATGGGCCTTTGCAGAAACACCCTTGAATTAGCACTGTCTGATTGCTTCCTTGTTCATTTATTTCTATTTATCTGATTCAGTCACTTCAAACTTCTTAGACAGATTTTTTTTTATGCTCAGGATTTTGCCTTCAATATTCTGGGTTTCATATGTAATTTTGTTAACTTTGGCCAACAAGTATAATAACAGCCCTACCAACTCTGGCGCTGGCAAGAGGTGGATGCTACACTGTTTGTAATTTCATATTGTTGCATTTTTTTTCTTTGCATGTGTTTCCAACTGAGGGAGCTCTATAGTTTTGTATTTTCATTTAAGYTTGCAGTTCCTCTCATCTTTCAACGTTCCTCTCTCCCTCTTGTAAGCCATTAATGAAAGAGTTTTCAAAGATTGTTGTGAGCATCACATGTTGTGGACTTCTACAGCTTTTTATGTGGTTTCCCACTGGATCCTCACCTAAGAGTGATATCTACCCCTTATTTTCATTCATGGAATTATTTCTCAGGAGGTAGTAGTCAAAGAGAAAGCAAATCACCTATGAAATTTGATGTGAAAGTGAAATTCAAAGGATGCAATTGAAAGAATGATATATAGGAACTCTTAACAGGTAAAACCTTCAACAGAACACTACAAATAGCCATCAGAGGCCATGAAAGGTACTGGTTTAAGAGAACATTGAGTCCAGAAAAAAAATATTGAAATTCTACATTTAAAGAGGAGATGAAAGTGTAATTTTTCCCAAGGCAGGCACACATTGTGTGTATCTTACTCCCACACTGAGCAGGATGCTCCTGGAAGGAAAATGAGCATCCTCCCATTGGGCAGCATGGGAAAATAATTTTGTTYTCCTAGTGAGATACTATACACAAGTCAGATCAGGTGTCACTGTGACCATTTTGCAAAAAGACTGCATTAATCAATGTATTTGAAAGAATATTCATAGRAGTTGAAGTGCCAGTATTGGAATAAACCTAGACTGTTCTGTAAAATCCAGGTGAGGAAAGTAGATTCCTGTGTAGAGGCATATCCTTATTAAACAATATGAAGCATTAAAAATGTCCTGAAGCTGACAAATATTGCAGCATCTGACTTAAATCACTGTTTCTCATAACAAATACTCTTAAGTGTAATGTGCAAATTTTAGGTAAGTTATCCCTATTGAATTTATTAATATGTRAGAGTTCTAAGCTCTACACAAAGTAGTTACAGTACTAAAGTTCAGTAACAGTTTGATTTGGGATTATTGAAATGATTGTGTATGTTTGTCCTTAAAGGACATCTCCTACTGATCAAACAAATTGATTAATCAATATTTCAAAAATAATAAGATCCTGACTGCTATTGTAGGGACACTAGAGWTACCTTTTAAGGGAACTAATCAATTAAAAAAGGTAATAAAAGTGCTAAAAAATTGTTAGTTCTTGTTGTTAGAAGATTGTAAAGTAATTATACGGATGACAAATTTTGGGATAAATAAAATGGCTCACATAAGCAAAAGGATTCCCAAGAAGAGGCTGATGATGTGTGCAGAGTGGGGATTGTCCATGTATGCAGCAAGCTTTGTCAGGCAGCTAAGAGGCCCATTTTGTCTACAAACAAAACAAGGCCAACTACATTTTTAATTGAAAATACATTGGTTTAGCTACCAGATTAACACATTTCAGCATCACTGTGAAGCCCTTTAGGAGTTGAACGGGGATGGAAGAATCAGGAGGAGTAGTCTTTTAGAGGGAAGCAAGTACCAAGAGTATTTTTCAAGGACAAGAGGCTTACATTGCTTCAGTTTTGCAAAAAAAGGTTCTCTATTTAGAGGTGAATGTAATTTGTAAAGTCTGAGGAACCTGTACTGCATGGAGTGTGATCTCAGGAGTGAACCCACAGAGTCCCCTCAAGAAACATGATAGAAAGTATGAAGAAAAAGTTAGTTTTACTCAGATTTAGCAGCCCTGGCTTCTCTCCCTCTGGCCAGCTTTTCCTGCTTGCTGCAGGGTGCTCAGTTGTAGTCTGAATCCCATGGTGTAAATATGGAATGCTGTGATTGCTCCATGCAGTTGGTGACCTTTCCTGAATCTGTGCCTGGAATGGCCGCCAAAGGATTTCTTAGTGCTGCAGAAAGTAATGGTGGTGTTGGATTTTATAAGCTTATCACTATTACTCTAAGAAGTGAAGATCTGTCTACTCTTGTTAAAATTTTGGGTGRCTCTCACTCACAGAACAGAGAAAGGCCAGCATGAGGCACACTGCCGGTGAGTTCCAGCTGGTATCTCTGTACAGCACATCCACAGGGACCATGCAGCTGGTAGGAAAT